CTATGCAAGTGTAAGTCCTTTACATCATTTTATGCTGTGTAGTAGGAATTAGATAAATTCACCAAGCACTGACTCCTTTCAACCGTGTTTGCTTGTCATTTGCTGTAATAAAAATTGTAATGATAGTAATTTGGAAGTGCGTTAATTATAGTTGTGTATGAAGAGTAGCATGATTAGATCGATCGATGAGTATTGTAACTATTTTGGAAACGTTAGATAGTAAATAAGAATTTTTCAAACCATGCTAAAACTTAAACTATTGAATGAACGCCTGATTTCTCCCATAAACTGTAAAACTCCCCTTTTGGTTATCAACAGTTTCACTAATATATAAAATGAGGTATATTCTTACAATGAAATTGTTGACTAAATTTAGATTCTGTTCATTCATGCATTACGTCCAAGTTGCTAAAATGGCATGTAGCCATTTTACTCTTGTCCTGTAAAATTGTAAATGGTGTTTTTATGGCATGACCAGCAATACACCTGACCAGTCTACTCCAAAACATTTTTGAAAGCATTTGCATAATAGCCATTATTAACATAAAAATTAAGTTTCTTGAAAGTTTGAGCATGGTAAATCTGCCATGCTCAAAGATACTAACCAATACCATTAGATTTTATAGAAATTGTTCATCAGAAGTCACAAGCAATCTTCCCTGTCCAGGTCTGAAAAATGCTGACTGAATCACAAATATCTAGTCACTCAGCATAACAGTGGTGTAAAAACAAGTTGTGTTGCCCTAGTGATTTGTTATTTTTTGAGGAGGTGAAGCTAAATTTTTACTGAGCAATCAAGTTTGAATTTAACAAGTAATTCACCAAAATGTGCGAAGTGCTCAGCAATTATTAAATCCCACTATGACCTTTGTCTTGTTTTTACATTTGAATTCACGTAGGATCTCACAGTAAACAGAAAATTGCTAACTGAGTTATTCACCAGAATATGATACATGCTCAGCAGTTTGAATTTCACCAGAACAAGAGAAATGAAAATCAGCTCAGAATTAAGCTTCAAACATTGGCCATAAACTAAACAGAGAACATATATACGGACAGAGACTAAACTCGAACTTGTTCAGACTTCAAACAAATAAAAAACACAGCAATGATTACACTTGCAAATCATTTATTTTCAATATTAGAGTACACATTTTTTTTCAAACATTACCTTTTCTGCAAATAAATATGAAATTCTTGTCCAGAAGAGGCAAGTAACTCTCCTGAAACAGTATATCTAATTAACATGCACAGTAACAAAAAAAAGAACTGGACATAAAATCATATAACAAGTACATCGGTAGTTCAAATGGTACCTTGTTTCAGCAATGTATTCAACAACTTGAATCTTGAATATCTATCTCTTGGATGATATGAAAAGCTTCATGATATACATCTAACTATTACTGTGTGCATTTATACGTGGCAATTAGTTTACTATATGTCTAGCACAACCGGTAAAAAGGGATAACAATCTATAGAATGTTGAATGGACACCAGCTGCATCTCAGCACAGCCTTCTCACCGAGGTAATGTTTCAAGTCAAATATATATACATTGTTGCAGATACATTGGATGCTGGTTGTGCTAAGACCATATTATCATTTAACAGCTAAAGACACATACTGAAGCAAAATAAAGATGACAATTTCATCTTGGACATTCAAAAACCAAACACTTCACCAGTACCATATACATATGAAAAAAAGTTGAAAAAACAAAACATGATTTTCGTTATAAATTCCCCAGAATAAAAACTGGAAATGCATTTTTGAACAAAAAAATTAAATAAAAATTATATACTTGTAAAATTTCTAATTAAAATAAATTTTTTATAGTAGCTCTAAAGACACAAAGTTGACAGAATTATGAAATACACTTATGCAGTACGAAATTCTGAATATAAATATCATGATTATATTATTTGACTTGGCAACAATCAAATGGTTCTTGAGCATTTTAAATTGGAGTTAGTGGAAAATGAACCAGAGGAATTTTGTCAGCAGCAAATGTTGCTGAAAGGAACATGACCAGAAACACCAATTTTGATCTCAATAAAATTGCATATTGATTTCACGCTCAGAAAAATGTGTACAAATATTCCAATTACAGGAAAATGAATTCATAGCAGTCGCATATATGAAACGACAAAGAGAATGTTATTACTTTAGGTTTAAGTAGCAGCCCTTTTGCCACCTAATACAAGGATGGATAACTCGGTTATGGTTTATCGGTTAGAAAAATAACGACAAGTAACTTTTTAAAAGCACAGCAGCCTATTTGTCAGCTGTAGCAAGATATGCAACAACAATCAAACGTCAATCTGAAAAAACTAATGTATTACATATTAGTAATAAACCAAAATTCCCAAAAAAACTTTGCTAAAGAAATTTGCATGCAACTGCCACTGATTGTATCTGAGCATGTTTTAAATATTTACTGCAGCATTTCAGCTAAATCTAAAAGCTCAAGGTTTCGAGAGCAACATATAAAGCCATATTACAAAGTAACCAACACAAACAACATACAATATTTCATTAATATAATGGAAGATTTTACGGATGTTTAAGTTTTTTATCGGTCACCAAAACTATGATTATTAAACAGTGCAACTACATCATAATTGCTACTAACTGGTCATTTTAGGCACCAGTACTGTCAAGAAGATGTCAGCAAGAAATGCCAGACGAAGGTATTGAGGAATGTTGTTATTGGCAATGTATAGCTTCTTAAATCAATTTCATTTAAACAAGATAGAAAAGTACAAGCAAAACAACCATGATTACACAAGACACAAGTTACATTAAACTGTATTCTATGTAGATTATATCTAGTCACATTCAATAGAATTTATTTCAAAATCTGGAAGTTGCAAACACTGCAATCATATAAAAAGAAAACCTTATTTTTATCACAAATAACATATATAGTCAAGAATCAATAGTACTTGTTATTGATTATGAAATGACAGGTGGGGATAAGTCATCTCTCAATGAGGTAGACACTCTTGATAAAAGCGGCAATCCAATGCCATATGATATAAAAAGTACCACATAATCAGAAGCCGTGATTTCATATAAATAAATAGATGTATATACATAAAAAAAATTAGGCATAATAATCAAAAATAAGGGTGAAAATTACAAACTAGTGCAAATACTTGGTGAGTCGTAGCATATTTGCATATGATATACAAACAATAAAAAATTCTGTTTATGTACATAAATAAATAAAACGTATTGCAAACAAAAAAATGTAGAAAAGGTCGTATAATGTCATGAAGTATGCATGCTAGGATGGTTTTAAATAATATTTTCAGCATAATGCATAAATATGCTCTACTTCATTACTTATATGAAAAATATTAATTTTATTGATGGAAAATATTTATTTGCCATAATTCTCTAGGAAGCCAATTGCATTGCAATTGGTTGCGAACCTCCAATGTCATCCGAAACGTTCCCGTACTAGATGCATTAGTTTCTTCTTGCCTTTGTAGATAGTCTTCAGATTGTCGATTAATTTGGCAAACTGTATATGTCCATCATGAGCAAGAAGAAATGTCTCTCTCGCTTTACTCAAAAAGTCAATAAAATCACCATAATGTCTTGGACTTATATGTGTCAATCTTGAATGAGCAGTGTTGATATAAGCACTAATAGCGGCATCTAATAACTGACGTAAAGGTGCCTTGTCATATGACAATATTTTGTTACCACGACGACGTCCATCAGGGAGACCACCAATACCAGGTGCAGAGAGAGTACATCTGAATCAAAAAGAAAATAAACATGAGTACAAATACAGAATCAGTATGCTAAAACTAATCTTGCAGTTGTTCATACTTTAAGTGAATTTTGTGTCATTAGGTGAAAGATTTTAGAATATGAATATCACAGGTTTTCATCTTTGTTATGCTAATTTTATGCCTCATACCCCAACTTGTGTAATATTTCAGTATATGAATATTACAAGAATTCATACATTTTTGTTATGCTAATTTTACGCCTCATACCCCAACTTGTGTAATATTTCAGTATATGAATATTACAAGAATTCATACATTTTTGTCATGCTAATTTTACGCCTCATACCCCAACTTGTGTAATATTTCAGTATATGAATATTACAAGAATTCATACGTCTTTGTTATGCTAATTTTAGGCCTCATACATCAACCGGTGTAAAGTTTCAGTATATGAATATTACAAGAATTCATACGTCTTTGTTATGCTAATTTTAGGCCTCATACATCAACCGGTGTAAAGTTTCAGTATATGAATATTACAGGAATTCATGCGTCTTTGTTATGCTAATTTTACGTCTCATACCTCAACTGGTGTAAAGTTTCAGTATATGAATATTACAAGAATTCATACATCTTAGTTATGCTAATTTTATGCCTCATACCCCAACTTGTGTAATATTTCAGTATATGAATATTACAGGAATTCATACATCCTGTCATGCTAATTTTATGCCTCATACCTCAACCGGTGTAAAGTTTCAGTATATGAATATTACAGGAATTCATACATCTTAGTTATGCTAATTTTATGCCCCATACCTCATCAGGTGTAATATTTCAGTATATGAATATTACAGGAATTCATACGTCGTTGTCATGCTAATTTTATGCCTCATATACCTCAACCGGTGTAATATTTCAGTACAGGAATATCACAGACATGCATACTTTGCTGTTATGCTAATTTGTGCCTCCCAAATTCATCAAGTAACCTACCATTACTTTATCATGCTAAGCTAATACTGACAGGTATCCAGACAGCTATAGCGCCCAGAAACATACATGTAACCGAGAGTGATGTTGGAATAATTTACAGCATTTTAAAGTTGCAGACCTTGATGTGGTAACTGTTGATAACAGTCTTCAAAAGGAACCTTAACACATGGTTCCAGAGCATATATGTAAACACTTGCAATTTTTATAGCCTTGTATTAGCTCATTTGAAGAAGCACACAAAACCTAAAAATTACATTAACTGTATACATGATACTGAAACCACACCTCATTTACATAAATGTATGCATTACTGACAGCATATATTGTAAGTTTTTTTCAGAATAATTTTTCATCTTAGGTTCATCTTACCTTCTGAGTATATCAGCCAGGACTGAAGCACACTGTACACTTTTCACAACAAGTGGCATCATTGTACTTAATTCCGATTTCCCTAATGAGTGGCTTAAAGCACAAGCCCAGTGCACATCATTAATAGTGGGATGGGTATCTTGGTTGTAAGCTAATGAAAGATTTCTCATAGCAAGTAAAGCTAGTTTATAAGCTCGAATCGGATAGCCACGATGTTCCATATACCTAGCAACCGTAAATAGTTGAGTTGAATTCATAATTCCATTGGCAGCATCAAAGACGATATGATAGGCAGTTTCAAATGCGATTGGGTCTTTCTCACACAATGTAAGGGCACATAAAGCACAGTTAGGAGGATCCTTGGCAGCACACTGTAAGGCTAAGTTCCGTGCACAACTAGCTAATTCTTCTTGTTGTTGGTAGTCCAGTCGCAACTGAAGAGCAGTGCTTGGGGAAACAACTGTCATGGCAACCATTGATGTAGCTTCGGTGGGTGTAAAAAATTGGTACCATGATTGCATAATGCTGACTAGTGCACTGACACCGATCTCTGTGGCACACGTCACCATCCAACGTACCATCTCACGGCGACGCCAATTCAAAGTGGATAATGTCATTCTCATGACATGAAGCCCCAACTCAAACGCTGCATTGAGTAATGAATGGTGTGTTGCTCCATCAACTGGTGTAGATGCCTTGAACACATCTTGCGCTAATTTGAATAGGTGGGAAGAACTGTGAATGTTCTGCTGAGCTGAATGTAGTACTTTACGTAATCTTCTAGGATCACCTGCAATCATAATGGAGAGAGAAAAGATACATTATTGAAAATCACAGGGAATTGATTTTGTAAGCATTGTTCATGCAAGTACATGAAAAAAAATCACTAAATGAGCGTGGTCATTTTTTGTCCACAACACATGCACAAAACAAACAATACACCGTACAATCTCTTGAATAGGCCTTATTTTGGTTCTAAAATAGGCGTTACGAAATGTTGAAAAATTACAGTCAATCAAAAAAAAATTCAACATGATACAAAAAATACTCGGTATTTTTAATGTAATATGCATTTATTTTTTTAATTTTCTTGGTAACGAAAAGTATATTCTAACAGAAGTTTCAAATAAAAACACGAATGCACTGCTTAGTAGCA